TAAGCCGTCTCCAGCCATTATTAGTCTCAAAGTGGGTTCCTCGTCATCGAATTTATAATATCATACATTCCCAGAGGTGACTTATTCTACCCACGTACGTAGTCATTCCAATTATAATGTTGTTATTTCAAGATATCACCTGACCTATCAATGAAGAAATTTGCTGTTTGTCTTCACATACCAAGTATAATTTTACTGCTATTTTCTTTGCGGAGAAACAAGGTGTTATCTCTAGTGAATTACACAGAACAATAGGTAAGTAGAGCAAAAGAGGCTTAATGACTTTATTGTTTCTTTGAAGTTAACCACAAAGCTTTACAATGGTCTATCTGTGCTCTGCCCACCACGGATATCGAAACCCGGTTTCTCGCGTTGTTAGTCGGCAGACATACCGCTGTATCACTAGAGGGAATTGACTTTATTTTCTAAATTTTGTGAAAAAGTAAACATACACCTGAATAAATTAAACATTTTGAAAAATTCTGTATTAATACAAGGAGATAGAAAATGGGAATGCTTGCACACCACAACAACACAAGGAGAAACATGAACAGGAGAAATAAATTAATAATGCACATCAAAATAATATACAATTAATTAACTTTTTTTTTAAAATCGTAAAAACAAAAGTTGAAAACCGTGTGTTTCATATAAATATTATAACTAATCATACTTACGAGATGTTTAAAGAAAGATTATATTGATAATATAATGCTGATATGAACATTGCAGCCAAATCTGGGAAGTTATTGAAGCGCGATGACAAGAGTTTAGAAATGGATCTCACAAATATATAATTTTAATTCTTTCATAAATGCATTTGATGCCATTTTCTGGGCCACATTTTTTAACTTTGGTGCATTATGATATTTCTTTGTACAAGTATTTTATTGGTGACAGACCCTTTGTAACGAATAATCATTTCTCCAGAAATTTGTTATATATGTTTCAGGGAAACATCAATGAATTGTGAATAATGTGCTTTCAAGAGATATTGCTGTTAGGAAGTTTGTGTTTCGTTATTTAACATTAAATGGGTGACAGAATTGATAATTTGATATATTGTTGTAAGCTATATTTTATATGTTTTAATTTCGAAGTTTCTTTGCTAGAAGGTGCATGACGTAAATATCAACAAAGTTCATAAAAGTAGTCCTAGAACATCTAGAAAATTTACGATGACTCCAAGAACCTAATAATTTCGGGCAGTATCTAGAGGCAAGACTAGATTTTTTATAAATACGGGTAATCGGTAATCAGGACCGGATCTCGCATTATTTTTATCAAATAATAAGTCTTCCTTCTCTAATTTTAGGTTTTTAATCTTCTCTATTGTTTTTTTGAGGAATAAGAACAATCATACAGTCAAAAATTCTATAGAATTTGTAGAGAAGATTAAAAACCTAAAATTAGAAAAGGAAGACTTATTGGTA